TGATTGCCTCGACCCGAACCGCCTTGGTTCGAGGAGGACTTACTGCCCAGTCCTTGGGCTACTCCGTACCTGTAATTGGCGTCGATCCTTAGGACTCGCGCCTTCCACTGTGCGTAGGTTGTGGGGCGCTCGTTGTCCCCATGCATAACCGTATTTCGCACCGTTGGCCTTATCGCCGCTTCTACCGCTTCGAACATCTGTTTTTCGTCTCCGAACTCGTCGCACTTGTGGGCCAGCCGCTCAAATTTCGCGAAGAACTCTACTGCGGATTTGAAGTCCGACTGACGGATCTTCTTCCACTCGGTCTTCCATATGGTCAACTCCGCTACTTCGCGGAATTCGCGCGTGAGGTCGTCGGAGAATTCCGCCCAGGTGGGGAATCTCCAATGGCCCTGCGGGTCCCGGTACCGATAGTACTGGTCGACCCACCATTGTTGCGCGTCCCCTCGTAGGTATCCTTGCGCGAACGTGATGCGGTAGGGGTTATGCCCCTGGTCGTTCATCGTGTAATACATGGGGAACACGGCGAAGTAGACTTCGCAGTGGTGTAGGAAGCGAGTGATATCCGAAGAAACCCCGGTGAAGTATTCGGGCTGGGTCACCAGCTTGGGCTTGACGTCATTCCAGGGGTTGTTTGTAGCTCCCGCGGCTAGCTGCCACGGGGGAATCGGATCTGGTGGTGAAGGGATGGAAGGCGGCGCGGGCGGTTTGGGGGGCCGCGATAACGACCGCAAGTTTCGATTTTCACCCGGGGGAGGGTATCCCGCGGGCGGTTGACGCGGCGGTAGGGGTGGTACTGTAGATTGTTTCCCCTTGTCCGGAATGGAAGGTCCTGCCCCCACATCCGCGTAATCATCGTCGTCCCCTCCTGCTCCTCCGAAGAATCCTTCGGGAAAGAATCCCGAGGCGTCATACGGGTTGGGCAGCGGCTGCGGCCGTTTGTAGGGTTCGCACCCGGGTTGCGGAACTGTGGGGTTTACCAAGTTCCAGACGATGGCCGCTCGGTGCCAGGTTTCTACTTCAAGAATGTTCTTCATTAGGTACACGTCCCCCGACTGCTTGGCGTGTCGATAATCTTCTCCTGCTTCGGAGAAGAGCCACTGAGGGTCCTTCTCCATATCTTCCATCATTATTTCGTAAAGGCCGTGCCACGGTAAGAGTTCGAAAACCCCGGGCCTAGGCGTGGGGCCCTGAAGAAGGACCTGCTTGACCGCCGCCATTACCGTCGGTTCCAGGGCCGGGTTTGGAGGTCGAGACGGCATCCTCTGCCTCCTTCCTCTCTCGGGCGAGTCGGTCAATTTCCTTGTTGCGTCGCCACCTCCCAATGTCGGAGTCCTCGTTGGAGATCTCCTCCTGGTAGACTCTCCATGCTCGGGCTCTGGCCTCGAGGTCGGTCCCTGCCCTTCGGGCGTATCCGGTATATCGGACGGCGGCTGCTCAAATTCGGTTGTCCACCTCGGCGGGGGTGGCATCGGGCTCGAGGAGGAGGTCCCAGAAGCCATTGGGCCCATAGAGGGCGTCCTCTTCTGTGCGTCGTATGCGTGCATCGTGCGCTCTGCCTCGGTCCATTCGGGCCTAGACTTCTGAGGATTCCCGGGCAGCTCTAGAGAGTCCGAGGGACTCGACGTACGTGTGGTAGAGAAGCGGCCAAGGACGCTGGGTCGGAGGGACTGGGTCGGCGAAGGCTCGCGACACAACGGAGGGTTCCCAGTCGGAGACACCGGCGAGTCGCTCGGAAGAGGTAACTGTTCCAAGTTCCTCGGCGTCGTAATCTGGGAACTCGCCCCAAAGCTCCCCATTCGTCGGCTCGTGCGAGGGGACGGGGGAAGGGAGTACTGGGGCCTCGGGCCTTGTAGGGACCGGGTCGGGCTCTCCTCTGGTCGGGACTCCGGCCACAGGAGTTTCTTCCCCGTCGTCGGCATAGACCCAACTGGTGTCGGGGTACCAGGCGACTGGGGGTCCTCTATTGGGTGGTCCGGTCCTTGGAACAGGCTGTGGGACAGTTGTACTGGTGGTAGCCGCGGAGGCCCCGAGGCTAAGTTCTCCAGAGTCTTCGTAGAAGTCGTCTCGGCGACCCCTGTTGCGCGCCATTCTTGCGCGATCTCTTGCGTCGTCAGCCGCGATTCTCCTGTCGCGGACCTCCTTCCATACGCCTGAGTCTCCCCACCCGGAATGGGTTCTCCCGCTCGTTGAGCCTCCGGAATCGGTGGCATCTTCCTCCTCACTCGAGTAGAGGTCGTGGAGGAGGTCGTCGAGTCGGGTCCTTTCCCACTCGGTGAGCTCGTCCCCTTGATACTCGGTGTCAGGGCTTTCTTCGCCCGCGACCAGAGGCCTGGTGCCTTGTCCTCTGCCTCGGTCGTCGCCAGACTCGCCTTGGACTGGAGACTGGTCGAAGAGACCTGGTAAGGGCGAGTCTCCTCGCTCGAGGAGTACCCCCCGGGTATCGGTGATGTCGATGGAGTCTGCTGGTGCGCTGGAAGCGCTTCTGTAGGAGTCGGTGCTCGACTCGGAGGATCGCGAGCTGGATCGCGACGATGTGTAGAGGGATCCTCCAGGTTCCCCGGAGGCGTTGGATTCGACATCTCCGATTGTTTGCTGGGATGCCGATGGAATGTCGATTACCGGTGGTGGATACGCCGGTGCGCTGGGAATGTAATGAATCGGAAGCTGGGCACGGATCTGTCTCCGCTGGCAGCAGCGACGAAGTTGGTACAAAGAAATGGAGCAGAAAAAGAGTATGAAAGTCGCGAAGACGGCGAGAATGGATTCGGACCAGGGCATTCGTCCGGGAGTCTATTCGTGGCATAAGTCGACGATGGACCATGCAAGCTGGTAGACAGCAAGGATGGTCAGGACAATGAGAAGAGCGATGATCAAGCTAAGGTCGGTCTCGTAATTAGAGCCGTTCATTAACGTGATTTCGCAGGTCTCGTCGGGAGGAGTGCTCGTTACTATTAACAGCAGAACTGTTAAAATAGAGGCGAGCTGAAGGGCGAGGATGAAGGGTTTCGTGTTGGGATACGTGGTGTCCTTAAACGAGACGGGGATATAGCGTATACAGGGCGGCTAGCAAGCTTGCTAGCAACACTGCCGATACTCCGAGTCCGATTAGGGCGAAGGTAATGGTTACAGTCACAAAGACTGCGAGGATAAGGTCGTCGAAAAGGATGAAACGAACAATGAACTCGAACACAAATAATGGGAGAAGCAGTCGAAAGGGTATTACCCAGAGGACTACCGCGACCCAGTAATGTATCGGATCAATGGTGAGTGCTTTTCCGTTGGTCCACTCGCTGTGCGTTGACAAGCACCGGGTTGTCCACACGAACGCAGGCGATGACCTCTCTGGTCAAGCGGGGTAATATTTCGTAAAAGAGTTGGGCAGCGCTCTTTCTCGGAAGTGACGCTGAGCAACGTAGAGCGAGCTTCGGCTAAATGTTAGCCACTAACTCTAATCGACTTAGATCGTGTTAGGATCGCTACTCGCACTTCGGTAGACGATATTCCAACAAGTCAAAGGCGACGAAAGTCGATGGGGCACTTAGACAGAAGAACGGAGTTTCAAGTTAGGTAGAATAAACCTTAGCCGAAGCTGGGGTTTAGACCAGCTGAGGCTCTACTTAAATACACGTTGCGTAGACTAAAAATAGTATCGTGAGAATGTCCGATCAAGACCGCAGCATGAAGTCCGCAGCATGGAGTAAGCATGAATGCGTAATGAAAAGAAAAAAAAGAATAAACCGTAACAAAGAACAAACCACAGGACTTCTTCCAGTCCCATGTCGGATGCTTGCCCCAACCTTGGACACATCGGAAAGGTCCCTGTTTGGAATTATTCCACAATCATCTAAACATTCCCGCACTATTATCTGGTCCATCCTTAACAGTCATTGGCGCGACCCTTGGTGCTGCGTTTGTCGCAGGGTTACACCATCTCTTTCTGGACTTTCTTCAGGGACACCTTGTGCAAAATCAGTTCTGGATGAAGAATAGTTCTAACACATTCAGTATATTGGTACAAACTCTCTGCACGGTGTCCGTTTCAGTGTCTCTTACTCAGCTTGTGAGGATTTTCTCGTCAATTTGATTGAATCAACATGAGACTCACAGTCACACAGATATGGTGGTTTCTGCACCGCCGACCCTTTACTATCATGGAATTGAATAATTTATTCAGTTTACCCAGTCCTTTTCCCACTGTCCTCCTTGCCTCATCAAATATGCTGTGGAGAATCGTTCCTATCATAACTATGGCTGTACTTGTACAGGCATATGCACTTGTATCCATCCTAGCACCTAACGCACTCGAGTAGGCACCGCTTCTCCAAAAATGGAGATCATCACCGTACCCACCCTCGATTTCGGTAGAGATCCACAAGACCACGGATGGGCATTCCTCTCACCCCCAGTTATACTGCAGTTATGGAATAACAAACACCTTTGAGCGGGTTCTAGGGTCCTCGTTGCAATCCGATACACTTATTGGGTGGAAGGCACCTCTGGGATGCGAGAATGGATGCAATTATACCATTGAATATAGTGCACCCGCTCTACGCTGCTCAGACATGGATCAAAAAAACATCCTCACCGATGAAAATGTTCATTCCCCTTCCTCTCTATTCGGCTCCAGCCAGCCATCTGCGGTACTACTGAGCGACGGCACAGCGCACGCTGTATATAACAGCACAGCCAACTATGATGCGAATTTTGCAAATCTTACAGTTGCATGGAGAAGCTACAACAATGGAACGGAATCCATTGTCGCTGGTTTATATTGCTCCCTCTTCAATACTACACAACAATCTATTGTGTCATTTTTCAACAACACGGCAGTCATCTCCCCTAGCATCATATCCTACAACGAGCCTTTCGAAGGAATCGGAGTAGAGATGCCGCCTGTGGACTGCGACGGACAGCATATCCCCACGACAACATCTCTCGCGCAGTCATACTACTTGAGCTACTCTGAAATAGTGCTCTGGCTCCAAAGTAGGCTGATAGGCAGTGTTTATTATCACACAGATTTTCAGGAGTGGATTCCCATGTCGCAGGTTATGGACACCAGTCTCTTTGTTATCAATGAAACCTCTGTGACATTCGCTCAAAGAGGTGAGGACGTGAAGACAGCAGCTAGAGCGAATCCTCGTGAACGTGACCGTTGCGCTGATAGGCTCGGGCAGGGAAACGAACGACAGTCAATGCTACGATAATGCAGAACCAGCTTGTATGGGTTTATAATGCACGTAGACTGTGGGGAACCTATGCTACTGCGCTTGCATTAGCATTGATATGTGGTGCTGTTGGACTGGTGTGCATGCTGAATAATGATGATATCCGGGACCTGGCATTCTCAGATATTGTCAGAGCCACTAGGAATGCCGAGCTGGATAGCATCTTTGGCGGAGAGATAGGCGCCGATGCGAGAAACAAGGTGGTACTCCAATACAATACACAGAAGGGCGATGGGACGGTTTCCGGAGGATTCGTGGTGTTGAAGTCGTGTAAAGAGAGATCGAGCTTTGAGAACATGGCATAATGTAAACTGGACTCAGTAGTAACTTTCAAGTTTGAATATGCTACGCTATTACAAGGAACAGTTTGTTCTCTTTTTGGTAGTGTACAACTGGAGTCCGAGTGTCATAGTAGTCTACACGTGAAACGAGGAAACCAGTATGTATTTCTTTGGGAGGTCTTCGACCATATAATCTTGATAAGCAGCGACTTCTTCATGCTGGAATTGGATATACTTGTTGACGATAGCCTCCGTGGACTGGATTCCGAATGTGGGATGCGTTGGAAGGTCTTTCAAGAGTCCCTCATCAGAGAATGATTCCCTTTTGATTGTCAGCTGTTGAACTGGGCCCACGAGTAAAATATTTGTTGTTACAGAAGGAGTTCCCATTTATATTCTCTGGTAATTTCAATTCTCCACCAAGGAAAATAGACTCGCGAAACGCTAAGCTTCGACAGCCGGAGATTCCCTTTACGATAAGTCGAAAAAGTCATCGCATACAATTAAACGCGTGTTCTCCTGGTGTATTGCGGCACAATAAGAACACGTGTATCACGGTCATTTCACCCCTTCACCACGTTATACGGGCAACATCTCGGATCATCTCTCTATAGCGGTGATTCGCACCACAAAATCTAACTCATGGGAACAGCACAGTTCATGGAATTTGGACCCAAAAATGAAAAGGCAGAGATAATGGACATGGAGATGAAATGAAAATTTATATTCAGATGGGACGTCTGGATCGTAGACAATAAGCGCTTCCTCAATATGCAAATTAGATGAGTATTATTATCGACAGAATAACCTTCATTTTGATCATTATTCGTGGCTGATTAACAGGATTGTCAACCCTTTTCATCGCACCGACCAAGATAATGACCGAGATGTGCGGGCCGAGATAACATACTGGAAACATAACCTTGTCTGCTAGTGGCGAAGTAGTATTGCCGAATGCAGACATGCATTTATGGCACCCCGTGTAATTGAGAAACTGGATGGACAACGAGCAGGTATGCACCCGGTGGGAGAAATGAAAAAGCAATTGACGCATACCTCACATCAGTTACATATTCATTCATAGCACATAGCATAAGAACGCAGCAAGGCAGAGAAACGAGGGTCAAGCAATCGAAATAGAATGGTCCAGAAAAGCAGTCCAGCCCGTGGAACGGGGAAGGGACGCGCCCAGTCACAGTCGTCGGTTACTCGGGCCAAAATTGCTATTGGTCATGAAGTCGGATGCATATATGCTAATAAATCATAAAGTGGGCCGGGCATTACACTGAGGAGAGTATAAGACTGTAAGGACTTGGAACAATGAAAGTTGGGTGTTAAGATTTGATACTGGCGGTAAGAAGCGGTCTAAAAATAGATAGTTTCTATACCTTCCCTATATGCCGAAGGGGAGTCGAACCCCACCTGAATGCATGAAGGTTTCAATGCGGGAAAATCACGATGACCATTTTACCATCGGCGTGGTTCTCATGTTTACTGATGAATGATTTTAATGTGTTTAGTATCTGCAAAATTACGCAAAGGCCAATAGCCGAGAGTATCCTAACCTGCATTAAAATATCATACCACGGCACAGAGATTAAGTTTGCAAGATTTGATAGCCAGAAATCAATTAGTCCAGAATCTTCTGCCACCATAGATACGGACAATATCACAATGTACCCCTGGAGATGAAGACAACGCGTCTCCTGATAGTGAATCAGCAACGACCTTTTATCGAGGAGATTTCTAACTACTCGCCTTCTTTGGTTCTTATTCGTCTCGCGCAAGACTCTAGTTACGCCGACACACCAACCGACAACGAAGTCTCATTCGTATTCTTCATGATATGTCCTGCAACGAGTTATCACCCGGAATTCGAACAATCTATACCAAAAGGACGGATCGCAATGCTTCTTTCTTTGCAATGGGCCCGTAATGTAATAATCATACAGACGCAACGCGACACCCCAGCGCACACATACGACAGCATTGAATTGAAATTGTACGCTAAATCAAAGTCAACCCTGAATGTGACCTGACGTAGCTGAAAGAATTCGTGCTCAATCTCCGTTAGGCCGCAATATAATTCCGGTGTCTCATAATACGCCTGGAGGACGAGCGTAGCCAGCGAAATACGGGTTTCTCAGATGAAAGAATTGATATCTAGACCCCAATCGGTTGAGGAACCTCGATGCGGAGCACATACCTGTGCAACCGGGGAGGATGTCGTTATGCTAGTGGGAAGCGTCTAAAATAAATCCAACTTAAGTATCTTGATCCTTGTTATGGGAGATCCATATCGCGTCTATTTCCTGATCGAGCATGAGGTGGTCCCAGATCATCAAGCATACCGCGACGGCTACAACAGTGTAATCATGGGAGACACTTACTCGGGTCCTTATCGACCACCTTTTCTTTCAAAAGAACGCGTATAACGCGGTTTAGTTGTGAGATCTAGGGACAATAATATAGCTGTGTATCTTCCACGTAACGTCAGTCTCGTGAAAATTGGAATCAATGACAGCTTTGAATGTTGACAAGGTTGAGGTGTAGGCCTAAATGCAACGGTGCCAGTTATGTATGGCCAGGGTCTGCTCGTTCGTGCACGAACTATATCGCGGTGTAGCTGCCTAGATATGACGCTGACAAAGACACACAGACAATCTTGAACTGATCTCGAGGGCGAGACACTCAGGGTAGCGGAGTTGTATGATGCCTCTCGATAAAGAAATTGCGCGTTCGTATTCAGCAGGGTTAGTTACATGGTATATGCTATAATCAGACATTAGCAAGCCGTCACATCGTGTAGATGAAAATGGCAGACGTACGATTGCAACATTTAGTGCTTGTCGTCTGTCAATAACCCCCCGCCAAGGTAATCGCATCCAGAGTAGCAATCTGCTCTCAGACTCCGCGACATCCTACTGGCACGCATATACGCAGTAATTTCGCCAATATCAACCATCAGGCTATAAGAGGGTTTATCTCTGACTTGATAGCAAGCGTCGACGTTCTCCACACCAACACTCGATGCAGAGAACCCAAGTAATGTGTACATGTTCGAGCACATCGTGTACCTAGACGGCGGTAAGATTTCGAGGCAACATGATACAGGGTAGGCTACCCATTCGCTTCGAGGACGCGAGGATCGTATGCTAAAAGAAGTGTGAATGAGAGGAGAGCCAAGCAAGATGCGACATACAAGGTTGCCAGTACTATCATTATAACAATGTTGAAGTGCGTCTCGAACGCGTTATTCTCTGTCCGGTAAGTGACGGGAACTTGATGGCATCCTATTAGGGAGAGCAGAGAGCATAAACGGGCGATAGCAGACGAGCAGTTGCAGAACGCGCCATCAGGCTGCTGGGAGGTTGAAAAGTGACAGAAATAGCGGGCGCAAGATGGGAGTGAGCGCGCGACTGCATCGACAGTCTATAGCGTCTGAGGGAGTTCGCAGACTGGGTTCAGCTTGGCGCAGAGAAGGGAGTGAATCGAAGTCCAGTGAGTATCTGAGTGTCTACTCCGGATGTAGGTGCCGCACACGGCTTAGAACGAGGTCGTGTTTCACATGACTGGCAGCTACTAGGCGGACTGTTAGGAGAGAATATATACATGCAAGGAGGAAACTCACCATGTGCCTTTGTCCTGCTCGCTCGCCTATGCCCTCTACGGTGTCCTCATCCATAGCTCTGGACTAATTACACCACTAACCACCCTTCGCTCGTCACTGTGCACTTAGGCTCGAGCACCGTAACCCTCGTCGGGCTATAAGCCTCCTAGAGAAAGCCTCCCTCAAAATTTGGATTCCGTCGACCCTCGTTACTGTGTGCCCGACTCGGACATCACACATCGAACGTCAATAGTCGTTCTTCCTCAGCCGTCGAAACAACATGCCTCTCGCTTCAAGGCACATGCAAGTCGAATATTAGTGGTCGAGTCGTGATTTCGGTCTTCCAACAATGGCAGAGGATCGTTCTCAAAGTTACACCTTGTCGAGGGCCACGATACTCTCGAAATCCGTGTGAAGTCTACGCCGTCCTGGGATGGGAGGTGGGGAATGTGTGTTAAGAGGGATGTGAGTGAGAGAAGGGCCACATTAGGCACGACATACCATATAACGAGCAGTAATGACTATGTCCCCGGAAGAGACTTGCGATTCCAACGCCGGAAATTACCCTGTAGCGGAGAATCACGCCGTCGAAAAGGTATGCAGCATGGCGGAAGTCTTTGTGAACGGTGAGAAATGTACAATATCGAGTTGGGGGGAGCAGTGACCAGGAGACGATTCGGGGTGCACTAGTGACTGAAGACGGCGTTCTGTGGGGTTGCAAAATAGATTTCCATGACTTGTGCTACGGACAGAGAGACGTTGGTGACAAGTGACAAGAAAGAAAATTAGCGAGATCAATAGATGTAAATATCGGCATCGGGCTTATGTATCCTTTCTTACTCGTTACAGATGTGACGGGTTGGTCTAACAGTCTGCTGTCATGTTTACTCCTTGTTGGGATTTGCAACTTCAAGCTTATGCCAGAAGATTCCCGAAGCTTCGGCTTACTCATTTGTCACGATACTTAGATATATTTAGTACTTTGGGTAGAATATTCTAGATACTTTTCGTAGTATATAAGGAGCTCATTAGGAGCTCTTGTAGCTAATAATTAGGTATTATTCCTACTGCAAGCCTCCCACTGCAATACTGCCAACACTCCTACAATCAAATCTTTTTTTCTCGTTCAACTCCCGCTGAGGCCAGAGTTTTTTAATTTTTCTCATCTTACCGCAAACATTGTTGGATTCGAATTTTGGGGGCGATGTACTCTGTACACATGAACGAGACGTATTCAAGGTGTATCGAAGAATTCATTTACCCCAGCCCCCCTTCTCACCCATCCGAAACACATGGGATCTGTAAATTCCAACCGGCGGTTGTGTGTATAACGATCTAGATCACAGTGTTAGCTGGAACGGAGGAGGGTTCTTGGGACATGCCACGGGGAAATACTTGACTCAAGCTCAAGCTATTATACTCGCCA